AAATAAAAATAAACAATCATATATGCGCAGGATATTTGTACATTTTTTTTTCTTATTATCATGTTGCGAACAGACCGTACAAATCTATGTAAAATTAGTTTAATATTTCATGCATTCGCTACTATTAATGAGATTTGTATATCTGCAAAAAACAATTTTTTACAAGAGTAAGTAAGATTATAACAAAGTGCAGAAATGACATCCTATGTACACAGAGGCACCTAGATCCCTACGTCAGTTTGCACTATGGCAATGATTGGACATTGACAAAATGTAGGACACAGCAAATAATGTGATTTGTTGATTTTTATAGGAAATCAGTTTATTGAGAAATGGGTGTCGCTATTAAATAATATAGCTTCCATCTTTATTTCTGTTTTAAATAGATTTATTTTTTTTTTAAATAATTACACTTCAAGCAAGGCAATAAAGCCACTAAAACGCAAAAGTTTAATGAATGTGAGAGAATATGAGAAAAAGAAAACATTATTGAGGATAGGGAATAATAAAATAACAGGAATTAAGATAATAGAAGATAACGATTAATATTGGATTTAAATTTTTGAAGATCCACAGAGAGAAGTGCGCGAGAAAACACTGTTAGCACAGCACTAACACTTATATCTAGCAATTTGAACCATAAAGTGATGAGACCTTGCCGCCAGTCGAGTACTGCGCTTAACTTCATAAAGTCTAGGTTCCAAACAGGAAAGCTCATCAGAGGAATTACTATGAAAATATTCATAAAAAAGACAGGGAAACTAGTTTGTGGCGGTGGAAAAGTAACTGAAACCGAGATGCCAGGTCATTGCTGGTTCTTCTTTGTATCTAGAATCTCTAAATAGATAGCAGAAACGTCAGACCAGATGTGACGGCGATGTTCAATGCATAGACGAATGATTGACTTATAGATAAGTAAGATAGATTCTGTCTAAAAATATTCAGCACGATACAGTGAACAAACTTTCTTAGTAACCGACCTAGAAATTGATTTAATATAAATCTTTTCACTTCCTTTCAAAAAGTTAGGCCGATAGGGTGCAACAAGTTACTCACCTGAAGGTTGACATCAGCCATGCTGATAGAAAGCAAAAAAAAAAAAGAGCAGTTTCGCTTAAACATTTAACCAAAACAAACAACAAAATCTACTAATAGGTATTTAAAAGATAATATTCACTGTGCTCATGCGGGCCGAAGTTTTCCCGTCCCTGTTCTATATTGTAACCCACCGCAAACGGGAACAAAAAAAAGGGAAAATGGTCACATTTGAAACGCTTGGCACTCATGTTCCAAACTAAGGTGATATTTCTTCTGAAAATTTTCTATCATAGTGATTTTTTTTTAAAAATCGGGTGACCAAACAAGACAGCTTCTATCTGGCCATTAGCCGAGGACTTGCGACTTCGTGCTGACAAAGCATCGACTATTCCCGAACAATCTCGTTTACCTAGTTTCACCCCAAAAACTTGGATCAACCAGTGATATGGTTTTCTGGCACTTTACAACGGTGTCGAAAGTTGGAATTTCCAACGCTCTAACTACTCATCCACAAAGACGACATGACAAAGATACCATATATATATATATATATATATATATATATATATATATATCACTCTAGAGAAATGGTAATTTAAAAAGAAACACTGCCTGCTCCTGCTATTAACACATCGCTCTTCAGTTATGAATTGAGCGCTCTTAACTACTGGCGTTTGTATACATCACGTATATAATATGTTAAAAATTTCCCTTTAAGTTAATAAAGATATTTCATACGGTATTTAATAATCCTACCAATTCTATTGGAATGTCTTTGTTTGTGGTTTATGAGAGGCAAGCATAAACAGTTAAGCCACCATTTAAACAACTTGAATACAAATTCTTGCTTGATGATAGTTAAGATATCAGTTTTGGATCTATCGGTGCGAAAGCGATACTATAGACAGTTGTTGATCACCTCAACAAAAACATTCTTTTTGATGATAACTTGAAAAAAATTGCTGATGGAGCGAGATTGTGACAGGAACGAGTGCTATTTTGCAAATAGGGTTGACACTTTCCATAGTCTTGGTAAAACATCTTCAGGCAGCTAATTTCAAGATTTCAAATATCGCCGGACTAAGGCTCTTAATCACAGGGATTTTATTCAAAACAGTAACCTTCGTAGATACAAAGCTTTTGACAAGTCTGGAAATCTTCTGAACAGGGATAGACATATCACAAAGTTTGTGCTGCGTTAGAGTGGGGGGGAGAATCAGCTAGGGAAAAGTCCTTGTCGCCTAAGAGTGACTTAGAAGCAAGCTCAATGCGATGAGGATAAGATAACCCCATGGACATTTATAAGTTCTAAGTAGCTTATATAAAAAATATATACAATTGAATAGGTTAAGCACATAATACTGACACTTTTCACCGGCATCCAGTTCCACTGTCAGTCATATTTTTCTCACTATCATATGAAACCAGAATGAAGAGAAAGCTAAGCAAAACGAAATCGTTACCTATTGTTGCGCACCAAAGTCTAAATTCTCGAAAATATATAATAGTGAAACGTTCGAAGAATATGATTTAAACAATACTACTTCCGTTGGAGCAGCAAAAGATGCCTTCCAAAAGCTAAGCAAAGAATTAAGGTACAGGAAATATTCGTTAGGAACAAAGAGCGTTGAAATGCTATACGGCAGTGAATACTGGACAATTTTCTCGCGAAAGATTGAGGCAACAGGAACGTGGTCCTACTGAAGGATGCTGAGAATAACATGGACAGCGCGTGTGAATAACGAGCAAAATGGAAACAAAAAGGACACATACTCAGAATCAAAACGACACAGAACACATAATGGGAAAGCAGAGCTTGGAGAATTTGACACTGACAGGACATTTCGAAGATAACGGGACGGGGTGGGTGCTGTGGCCTATCTACCTGGCGATTTTATATGAATGAATGGCAGAACAGACAGCGAGGGGTGTTAAAAAACGACAAATATTATTAAGTGTTGAAAAGGATAGGAAGCTGTGGAGAGCCACGATCGTCTACATCCTGAAAGAGAAACGGCACGTGGAAGAGTTTCTTGTGTATCGTTGTTTTTAAAACTAAAAGAAAAAAATTGTTAGCACAGCATCATTTGGAAAATTTACAGTGCAGACCAGAATTATCTAATAAATGTATTAATTCCCTATTAATTTTGCGCTGAATTTGAGCTTTCGGGATTGTTTAAGTATGATACATCGCCGCATTTCGAACGTAAGTGATATTTTCATCAATTTTTGCTTCTTGTTAGGCTATCCTATCTTTTTCTCCTTTTACTTCTTTCTTTTCCTTCTTTTCTTCTCAATTTCAGACTATTTTCTCTCTCTCTCTCTCTCTCTCTTTATTCTTCTACCCTTCCCTCTCGACATTTCGCTTTCTTCTTGCTAACCATTTTTTTACCTTCCTTTCTCTCTTTTTTCTCTATAGCCTCTTTTATTTACATTCTCTTAACCCCATTTTCCAACGCTCATGTTCAGTATATATCTTCAGCTTTCTCATTTTCCTCTTCCTTTTTCTTTTTTAATCTTCACGTTCCCTTTCTCTTCCCTCTATGAATCCTATTCTAAAACTCCCGATCTTCACTTTCTTTTACTTTTATCATATCAACTCTCATTTGTCATTTTATCAAGTATTCTTTTTCAGTTTACTTCTTTCTTTTTTTTACACTCCCCTCATCATAATGTACTTCTTTTTTTCTCTTCCTTTGCCACATATTCTTTTTTTCACATCGTATTTTGCTTCTTGTCTTGTCATCATCTGTCGTCTTTTCAATCATCATTAAGAATGAATACAGACAAAACACAGAGAGCGGAGTTAGAATGGCCGAATTGGCGCGCGCGGGAAAAAGAGAGCGAGAGAGAGAGAGAAACAAAAAGACTTGACGTGGCGAATTTCTATTACAGTTTCAATTTCCAGTCAAGAAATATGTCGCGTAATTGCATTTGCGCGCCTCTTTCACGAGATAAGTGGCTAAGCAGGCGCGATGCTCAAAGCTGATTGGAAATATGCGTCCGACCCAATGCCTAATTGGAAATTTTACTGCTGATCATCTTAAGCGTATAAACAAACTTCAGTAACTGAATTTTCTGCCCTGCCTAGCTTCCTATCTGCACGGGCTATGATTTATATCATATTCAAAAATATCAAACTCAATAAAAACGAAATGAGACATTATAGGAAAATTAAGAAAACGGAGGAGAAAAAAAAATAGAGCGTTCTGTAAAAGTAAAATAATCTAAAAAGAAAAAAAATACAAACAAACAAAAAATTATGATGAGAAGAAAAAATAATTTTTGCAGGATTGTTTCTGTCATCGTATATTAATGGGAAAGATGAGAAAAATCATGTTGGAACAAATAAAAGAACGCAAGAAAGAAATATTGAAAGCCAAGTAGTGAAAAGACGGGTGAAAACAGAACCTAGAAAATATTTCCCTCCATTTTGCGAGCGCCAGTTGAATTCGTTTCTTTTATTAACCACGTGACCAGGTTCTCAGATCGCCCATGAATCCAGATTATATGGTGATTTACTAAACGTAGCTTATATGTGACCCAAGATCGAAAGTATGAAGCACCCAGTGAGAATCAAACTCACTATTCGGTCGTAACTGACCTAGCGAGACAAACCTGCTAACCATTCCATCAGGTCGAAGTACTCAAGATATAGTGATTTACTAAGAGTAACTTAGATGTGGCACAAGGCCGAAAGTATGGAGCGCCCAGTGAAGATTGAACTCACTACTTAGTCGTAATTTATCTAGCGACACAAACTAACTATTGCACTATGTTGAAGTGCTGAAATGATTTACCAAGTATAGCCTAGATGTGACACAAGGCCAAAAATATGGAGCACTCGGTGAGGATTGAACTCAGTACTCAGTCGTAAACTATCTAACGAGACAAACTTACTAAGCATTATACCCCGTCGAAGAGTCCAAATGATTTACTAAGCGTAGCTTAGATGAGGGGGCTTGTGTCCATATCACGTTGAAACTCCATTTCCCGTACGTTCACCGAAGTTAAGCAACGGCGAGCCTGGTCAGTACCTAGATGAGGGACCGCTTGGATACCAGGTGCTGTAAGCTTAGATGTGTGAGCGATGTAATAGATAAAGGCTCGGAATTGTTAATCGGAGAACAGTGTTCGAATTTCAGTCGAGTTCCATCATAATGGATGCTTGCCATCATAATGGCTGATGCTAACCTACAGGGGAATGACTAGTTTCGCCTTCTCGGGTTAACATGAAGTGAAAAAAACTATATTGAATCCATTGCTGTCAGCTGCCAAGAAAGATTGTTCACTATGTCGCGCTAGACATTTTTTCTCTACAAAATCTATCCTATTATATATGTGTGTGTGTGTGTGTGTGTGTCTACTATTCGTCTATGCTTAAAATAATGCTGTCACATATAGTTCAGTTCTCCTGCTATATATTTAGAGATTCTTGATGAAATCCAAAGAAGAATCAGCAATATTATTGGTCCTGACCTGGCGTCTCGGCTTCAGTCACTTTCCCATCGCGTAAAGTTGCTTCCCTGCGCCTTTTCTATAAATATTCACATGGTAGTTGTTCGCATGATCTCTTTGCTAGGGTACCGAGACTTTATAAATTTAAGCGCAGTACTAAATTGGCAACTAGGTCTCATCAATTTACAGTTGAATTGGCGTGATGTAACCATAGGTTCTCTGCAAACAGTTTCTTTTCTCGCACTTCTCGCTTGTGGGACTCTTCTGGATCCATATTTTCCGGCCAATTTTGATCTTTAAAAATTTAAATGCAATGATAGTCGTTATTTATGATCTTCTTGATGAGTTTTCTATTTTTTTCGCTCCTTCATAAGGTTTCTGTTTTCTAATTCTTTCACACCCACTAAACCCTTGTGTCTTAGTGACTTTACTGCATTTATTGGGGTAAATTCGATTAAAAAACAACAACAACCAACATAGTTATTGCACAGGTCGAAAGTGCGGAGGACACAGTGAGGATCCAGCTCACTACTCTGTCATAATTGATCTAGAGAGCCCAGCTTGGTAACCATTACACTACGTCGAAGTAACTCAAATCCAGATTCAATGATTGCAAGCTTTTGCTATTCAATCCTAAACATTTTGTCAATCATTGCTCTTGTCGATAAAACAGCACAGTGTTCAAGCATAGGACAGAAGACTTCAAGACTTAACGTTTGATGCTGCTTCACGATTTACAGGTAAATGAAATACTATAGTGCTCTATTCTAATTGTAGCTTAGTATGGCTCAAGGCCACGTGTATGGGACATCCAGTTAGGATAAAATCAGTTGTAAGGATCTAAGAGGCCAGTTTGCTAACAACTTTTCCCCGGTTAGGTGTCTCAAATATTTACTAAAAACACCTCAGCAATAGTTCAGAAATGTGTTGCTCCCAGTGATAATGGAACATACAGTAATAATAGGGCGAGTCGGCTTAATTAGAGGTTTATATATATATATATATATATATATATATATGTCGGTAAATGTGTTCTTTAACACTTTTTTTTTTTCAGAACGTAGCTGATATATCAGTCTACTGGTGTGGCGGTGGGGATAAATAAATTCATTTATATCTTCTCCAACGATATTAGTACGAATGGAACATGACTGAGTATACTGGGACTTGAACTCGTTTTATAAGAGAAAGAAGCCCAATTTGATCATTCGTGAAAGTGTGGTGATATTTCAATGTTCCTTACAGCAAAGATTACATCTTAGACTTAACCTTTTGCACTCTACATAATTAATATTACTTCCATATCTACTACATTCTTTTTTCAATGCCTTTCAATTGCAGTATCCTTAATTTTAATTTCATTCAAAGTTGTTTTCTGTTGCCTTAGCACGATATGATAACATAACTAAGAAATTCAAACACACTGTTATTCAGGGATCGGCGTCATCTTCAATGCCAAGAAAAACATTTTGTACAGCAAATGAAGTCATATACAGAATGATGAAGATTAAAGACTTCAGTTGGGAAAACAATTGCACACAATACTTATTCTCCAGATTATACTCTATGGAATTGTCAGCTATTCTGGAATTTACACAACCATTTTGAGGGATAAGTTCATAAATCACCTAAAACATAGAAACTGCGTTCTTTTCGTTCAAATCAAAATAATTTTACATAAACGCAATTATGAAATCTGTGAATCCTTGAAAAGATGTTATTGATGGTATTTATGCAACTGAATAAATCTTAATTAAATATTTATTCTTTAAATATTTTTCTAACTCTAAGTTCAGACATTACATCAAATATATTAGTTTGCACAAAACCAGTTTGGTTGCTGCTGTCGCTGTGTATCTCTAACGGATTCTATCGCTTTCGAACGCGAAACGAAACCAAAAGCAGTTCGTGTCTAAGACAGCACCTCCTCATTGCCATAAGAATTGTCGGTTGGACACACCAAAGCTCGAAGGAGAGGGAGATTTATTTCTGTCTGAATTTCTAGGATGACAAGTTATTATCATTTGCACTTTTTAGATGCGGACTATTTCCCTCATCTTCATTGTTATCACAATGTTTCGGCCGTTATGGTCATCATCAGATATATATTGATCCGTGTGACAGACAGAGAATTCTGGACGGATTTATTCAATCTACTGTCCTCGTTCCACTGCCAATGTCAAAGAATATCTCATCTCAATTATTCCTTGTCCTATGATTCATGGGACTGTAGTGGATTAAAGCACTGGTCCGTGAATTTGGTGACATAGTAATTGTGAGTTCAATCCCTAAGCCAAGCAGTGTATGCTTGGGCTCAGTAGAAGCTACTTCTTAATTACTGTTGTTCCAGGTCAACCCTGAACCGTGGTAGTAGCACCTGTAAGGGTCTGTTGTGGTAGGATCCACCTAATTTGCATAGTGGAGTACCGACCATATAAATATGGTTGGTACCGGCAAGAAAGTAGAGGAATCAAGAGATTCAATCCAGAGACTCTGCCCGACTGCGACTCAGTCAACACATTCTCCAGGAACGGTCTTCCCAGGAATATACAAAAGACTATATGTAAATATTGTGTACACTTTCTTGTTTCAATACATTTTGTTCTAAGTAAATTTTGTGTTGCATTATTATTCCATGCATTAGTCAAGTTTCAACAGGGTCCCAACTATGGGTAAATTGTGAACCCCACCAAGCAAAAAGAAAACACTATGAAAGTATAAAAATACCATCAATATATTTTTATATAAAAAATTTCCAGCTATACATATTTATAGTAAAATTATCAAGTTAGCTCAAGAAAAGTAAATTTCCGCTGTAAAAGGAGCAAATTGATATCCCGTTAAACAACCAAATCAATCAACCTATATGAAACACTAATGAGTACTGATCATAGCTTTGAGAAGGAGCTTTGATTTTTCATACTTAACCTTTGTACGGTGTTAAGTTCGAGAGTAGAATACGAAGAAAAGAGAAAACTGAATTCAAACCTGAATTAGAAAATGCCGGTCAGTCAAGCGCTTGTAAAGTTAACCTATTTTAAATCTATATTTACTGCTTCTTGGAGACTCCAAAACACTTCCAGATGCCTCTCTGTTTGAGACATTCCACTTAATCAAAGGTATTGTTTCGTTTTGGGAATTTTTCGTAAATTATTTTTACGTACAAGATCTTGAGGCTAATTTCATTACTTCCCGTCAAGCGATATCTGAAGTTTTGTACATCCACTCCTCACATATGCACACATGATTTCACGACAAAGCATCTGCCTAACATTCAATTCAAAAGGGCGCTTCTACGATAGAAGAAAATAAAATAGAAGTTAATTCGAAAACTATTAGTCTGCCTTGGGAAATCGGCTGATTTAACTTACGCTGAAGAAATCAGACTGTAATGTTAGTGTATTGTTCTGATTTTCCCAGTTTGCCACTTAACCTCTTAAGACCGAACTGCCATCCTAAATATTGGCTTCGAGCAACACACTTAAGCCCGGCTTGCGCGAAGACGAATGCGGGTGCAGTTTTATATTTAAAAACAAACTTGTTTCAAACAAAATGTTATGACACGTTGCAAATTGGAAAACCCTCACATCTCTTACCTTTTTTCCTCTAACTCTCAAACACATATAATCGTATATTTTATATCATTTATTCCTTCGCTTTCACCCTTCCTTTAATTGTATTTTTTTTCTTTTTTTCATGAGTTCTTTCTGTCGTCTTTTTTTTATATTTTTTACATCTTTCTCCATTTTGAGTATCGTTCTATCACTTTTTTCTTTCTCAGTGTTTTATTTCTTCTTTTGTCTTTCTTTGCCATCTCTAGTCTTTTTCCCCCTATCAATTCTTTCCTCCTCTTTGTGTCTTCCTTGACCATTTCTAGTAGAACATTTTCCCCTTCATTTTTCTTGGTTGCAGAGGCAAAGCTAATGGTCAACAATAAGAAAAGCCGAAACTTTTAAGATTCAAATGAAATCGTTAGAAAAATACAATGGTGATTTATTGTTTCATTTTCTTCACAACCGTCAGAATTTACTGCTTTACTACATATGTAATCATTGCAATGCATTTCGATATTGAATAATTTCCATTTTTATAATGCATTTCGATAGTAAATAATTACCTGTTCATTTTTATAATGCATGTCTATTATAACGCCACTATTCTATGACTATTGTTATAACACAATCTTACTTATTTAACGTATTTCGTATGAGGATTCTCTATACGTAATGCTTCGGTTATTTACCGTGACGTCTGTATTAATTACTCTAAGGACGGAATCCAAACGGCTACGTATTTACCCATGCCTCCCTACTTAGACGGGATGTGACACAAGTTCAGGCTTAACGTGGGGAAACCGAGCGCGTAGAATCGGGAAACTGGTCCAAAATTTACCGATTTCTCCAAACCACGGAGAACGGGCACTTTGTCTGATTTGCTCAGCCAAGTCTCTATCCGTAGACAGAGCCCCGACTGAGTTACCCACTGCCCGGAGACTGAGGTCTTGTCAGTCGCAAACTAGACAGAGAACTGCCAGACTCGAAACGGCAAGGTATTTACCAAACCTCTCCACAAGGCAGGATGTGGCACAAGGCCGGTTTTTACGTTGAGTGATTCCG